TCTGGACTGACCTGATAACAGCGATCAGAGTTTCCAAATTTGGGCCTTATAAGGGCAGTGAGTTGCCTTAACCACCAGTGCATGGGTTTTTTAAGAGGCTGCTATTGTATGCATTGCACTGTGAAATATTCCAGCAGATCCCTTGAGTGCCAAGTGTTTCAGCAAGGTTTTAAATATATTTAAGGGAATTTTTTTGGAGTATGGTTGTTCTTTATTGAGGAAACACCTGTTATCCACATTTTATGGATAGGGTGGTGAGCTCAGAAATGATGCTGTTTGCAGGGAGTTTGGGGAATAAAGGGCCTAACTTGATTCCTGCAAGCCTTAATCGTGTGCCATAACTCCTGTTCAGCCTTCCTTGGGGGGTTTGTGGAAGGAGACAGGTGATCCTTAAGGACAGGTTGCAGAGTGGTGAATAACTGGTATATCAAAATGGAAAAGTACCCAGATGGATGAGGTGGGAAGAATGTGACCATTTCTGTGTAGTGTTGTAGAATGCTGCTTTTAATGTTTTCCATAGATCTTTTCAGTGGAGCCCTGACTTTTGTGCAGTGGGCCAGACCTGTGGCTCTGTCCCTCCTCTGAAGGACAGCTTGGGAATGTTAGACATGGGATAAATCACAGGAGAGCTGCAGGAAGCTGTGCTCTGAGCTGGTCCTCAGGGCTGGAGAAAACTTTCAAGTTAATTGCCTGATGCTAAACCTGGGCTGTATGCTGGAGAATTCCGAATTTGGTGGCAATCTGCTTTTCCTTGGATAGATACCGAGGCTGGAAGGTGTATCCAGGGTGGGCTGCACTGCCAGGGCACTCATCTGGAGCGGTGGATGTTGGTGAGGTGTCCTTGCACATGGCACACAGCAGTGCTCTTGTGTGCTCTGGAAGGTGTCAGCAGTCACATCCCTGTCTGTCTTTCTGTTTCTTGAGACTTGTCTCCTACCCAATAATTTTTTCAAGTTGGATCAGTAAAATGGTTGATTCTCCGCACTGAGCTTTTCTGTACTCAGTGATTATTTGCCGGTTGTGACAGCTCTATAGAGTTCTGTCCTGGCCAGTAGTCTCAGCAGATGCATTGTGTTGACTTCCTGAATCCAATTTGTAACAATAATGTTTTTCTCATACTGTGTTTCTGGAACTAATTTGCCTGCTTTCCCTTCCCCATCTCCTTCTCCCGGGACACCCCAGCGAGAGCTCTGCCCTGCGTGCTCCCGGTCGCCTTCTGTTCGCCTGCTTGCACTGCCTGAATTCCCATGTTTTGGGAACAGATTTATGGGAGACGACTGGAGACACTAAAAATCATTTATGAGGTAGACTAGTGAGAATCTTGGGCATCTTTTCTATATGAGACTCTCCTGCTAAAAAACAAAACCCCAAATATAAAATTTCCTAAGTTGCTTGATTTACTTGATTCATTTCCTCCGTCTATTCAATTTCAAAGCCATTTAGGAAGATCATTTGCACAAATATTTAAGTTCTCTTTAACTAAAGTCAACCAATGTATTTTTTCAATGAGCTGGAGCTCATGAGAAAGATTCAAACATTAGCTGTGTAAAGAAGGCAATTAGTGTTTGTACAATATATTGAAAATTAGCCTAAGGCATACTGGAAAAATACATGTTTTACACATGTATATTATTCATCCAATTCCATAGTTTGTAATAGATCCTGACACAGATAATTCCAGAAGCTACCAAATGAATTCAAACTATGAAAAAGATCACAACTGTCTATAAAAAGAGGAGGTTTAACTGTAATGGAGTTGGTTTTGCTCTGTGTGTTTGATCACTCAAAGGAAAAGCCTTTTCGCCTGCTGTAGTATGTCAAGGAAGCTTATCTGCATGTAAACAGCAAAATGAAACCTCTCTTGTGTTGTGTTGAACTCCTCTAGTTTAGAAGTTGAGCATTTCTAAAAATACACTAATGATGTCACCCTGATAACAGGAGATACTCTGTCATGGAGTGATACTTTTCCATAGATTTTAAAGCTGTCATGGGAGGAGGAAAAAATTGTCATAATCATAGGAATCAGTGGAAAGGTTTTATTAAAATAACTGTTGTGTTATCTGCATTAAAGGTTGTGCACTCATTATCAGGAGTGTTTTGCCCACAGTTTGGTAGGAATTCGGGTCAAGAGGACCATTTTTCTGAAGGGGAAGAAGCAGGTGTTGTTGATCCAACCACGGTTGGAGTATCAGTTAAAAGCTTTGGAGTATTTTCTGAAAATAGAAGTACACCTATAGCTATTAAAGAAAATACTATTTTTTCTTGTTGTAATCATTTAGTGCTTAATTCTAGTAGGACAGACCACAAAACAAAAGAAATGGCTTGTGAGGCTCTGATGCTATAATGGACATAAATGTACTTTCTGCTGTTGATTATGCTAAACTATTTGTTGTTTATATTAATTATTGTGGTGTATATAGAGCAGAACCTTTCAGGAAGATAAATTAAAACTTTTGTTTGTTTCTGCAAGAGAATTCACAGGAGTGAAAGTCCATATGGAGTCTTGGATGCAAGACTACAACTCGCCTTAACATGTAGAAGAGAGCATATGGTTTTGGTAATAGGTTAATAAGAGCAATTAACCTTATGGTGCACTCATTTGTTGGTCTCAGTTGTTTATAAACTAGGTAATAAAGATATTTTAACATCCTATAGTTTTATAGGAGATTAAGTAAAATCAGGCTGTATTTTTCAAGTTTTAATGCCAACAGTACTCAGGTGATACTGTGATAGAAACATATTCAGAGTACTCCATGGTGTGTCCAAGCAGTGGATATCATCACAATGTTGAAATGTTGAAATACATAGCAGAGTTTACAGAAATACAAACATATGTTAAAGGCTTTCATTAGCAGAGGAACTGTTTTCCTGGGATGCAGCCACAGGTTTGTCACTCAGCTTGTTCTTGTGACCTTGCAAAGGCTGTAATGCGAATTGTTTCCAGGCTTTATTTACGCAGAAAAGCATTTTAAGCTTACCTTCTTCTTCCTGAGGATGAGTTTCCTAAAAGAACAGGTTAAAAAGTCAGCAAGCACTGGCATTGCTTTATTTTGTTTGTTCTGAAGGACTTCCTGCAGAAGTCCCAGTGTCTCTGTTGGGAGCTGCTGTGTTTGCCTGGCAAACAGAATAAGTGGGTACAGATGACCCGGTTGTTCTTGGCCCCACAAACTGCACCCACAAGAAAAGCCATTTTTACTTTATTCTGTGTTGGCTCCTCACACTTCAGGTGGAGTCATTTGTTGTCCAGTTGGGAACCTTGCTGCAAAGACAAGTGAGACCAAGGGTTGTGTGACTTTGTTTTGTGAGTGCTTTGGGTTCTAGGCTGGTGGTGATGGGAGAGGGGATGGTTTCACCATAATAATAGTTTTTTATTTAGTTCTATACCTTGTATCAGGTTTTTGGCCTTCTGCTTTTGTGCAATATTTGTTTTGCACACTTCTGCCTACTTATTTGGCTACTAAAAGAAGCCTCTAAATCAGCTGATCTGTAGATTTAGCTCAAACATGTAAAGGATATATTGTGGTTATTGGTTTTGTCTGTCCTTTCTGATTTACTGTTAATTGTCTGATTTTTACCTTACATTTTGGTTATAAGCTATTTTAATATATTTAGCTGATGATAACCCGAATGAGCAGTGATTCTTTTTCTTTATCCTGAATTTGAACATCAAGACAATAATTTCTTTCTTTAGGTTTTTTTCAGAGGCTTCCATTTAACTTTTCTATACAAATTTGTGGTCTCATTTTTTTCTCTTTCATTGAATTGACTGAACAATATATTTGCTGGTGCAGCATTCACCAAAGATGAGGACTCTTTTGCTTTATTAGACTTGACAGTGTTTAAACAATACTAATTCTCATACCCAGCTGGGTTTTCAACTTATTTCTGTGCTCTCTATTGCTGTGTAAAACAAGTTGGAACATTAATGGCATCTTGCATGCTACCCTCTGGAGACCTACTTTTCTTTAGAGAAAAATCAAATAAATGTGAAAGTTTCTGGATTTTCTCCTTATATTTTTCTTCCTTTCTTTTCAAATGATACTTTAGTGAACTGTCAGATTTTTTACATGTTACAATACTAATTTTCAAGCACATAATTTTAAAAAGTAGTCTTCATGTTATAGCTAGAATTACTGGTTTGCTCATTTTTTATAGAAAAAAATGCCTTTATCTAAACCAAAATATACCAGCTTTAAAAACATGTTCATGATGCACATGGATGTGCTATTTTAACCCAGCTAAAATTTTGTATATTGAAAATGTGTTTGCTGACCCGCCAACAAACATTTGGAGATTCTAATAATTTGTTCAGCCTCTCACTTTTAACAATATTGAGTATTTTTCATGAGGGAGAGAGAGATAAACCCCCCATTTTTCTAGCTTTTAAATATAAATACTTAGGTCATGCATTTAGACAAGCCCAAGCCTTGAATTGTTTGCTCCTGAAGGGTGAATTTTGTCTGTTCTATAACAGCCATCTGTGATGGGCTGCAGCCATTGCTGAGGTGACCATTGGAGCACAAGTCTCCTTCCAGTCCTTCAGAGGCTGCTTAATTTCATGTAAATTTCAGTTAATTGTGAAATTGCAACTTTCTGAAATCCAAACTTGATTCTTGTCCCCTGCACCTCCCCAAATACTCAGTCCTGCAGCAGGAGTAAGAATTTGGGGTGCTCAGTTGTCTGGTCAAATGAGGGCAATGACCAATCATAAAGGACTGGCCAAAGCTGGGGGGATTTGATATTTGACTTCAAGTAATCCATGCTTTCTGAAGAAAATTTATAACCTTCTTGGCTATAATATCTCCTGTAATTTTTTTGCCCAGAAGCCAGGTGGCCCTGCACAAAACATGTGCAGTATCTGTGCCCCACAGTGCCGTGACACTCTGCATTGTGCAAACAAAGTCACTTGGAAGCAGTGTAGGGAAGATTTTGTAAATAAATAATGTTTTGCTATCACAGTATTCTGTTTAAGCAATATTTTTTCTCCTAATTTTCTACAGCTGGTCTAAAAACCCAGAAAAATGGAAGTTTCAAAAGACAAGACAGACGTGGCTTCTCCTGCACATGTATGATAAAGAGAAGGTTTGTATTCATGATGCTTTTTCTCAGAACAAATATGATACAGTCTTATACATTAGTTATAGTTATTCCTTATTAACCAAAATGTCCTAGAACTAGCCATGCACTTGTCTCATAATTTTTTTGATAACTTACAGACTACTTTGTTTTTAACCAAGATGCTGAAGCATTTTAATTGCTTTTTATAATCTTTTTATTTTGTTGGTGATCATTGTCCTTTGCATGCTAGATTTTTATACTCGATGTATAGCAAGCATAAAGAGAGCAGATTCATGATTTATTTAAATCTGGAGTTTGCTGAGAATTTGAGTCATATCCTTAATTTGAATTTCCTAATGCAGAACCCAATACTGCAAACCACAGCTCTCATATTGTTTCAGATATCTGGCTCCATAGATGTACAGCCATATTGCCAAGATGTTAAAATAGCTCTCTCATTTAAATATAAGTGAAACCTGATGTTGATTGTGAAAAACATAAAGTATAACCAGAAGCCAGGCTTGAATCCATACTGAAATCTATTCATTTCATAACTTAAAAAACAACATAAATTGAATTTCCAATAAGTATCTGACCATCGTGGTATCAAATGAGAGTGTCAGGTTATTCATTTTGTTGTGCAATACAACAAACCTCTGCCCATTTGCACAGTGCTTCACTTATTGGTTCATTTTGTTGACATTCAGTTAGCTTTTGCTGATTTTTTGTGTGCACTTGAACATTTACTCATACCAATAGTCCTGACCCAAATTAGTGGGCAGCTCTTAAGCCAGTCACCTGACATTGGGTGCTACCTTTTTAGACAGCCAGATAATTAACAACAGAGTTTCATGAGGGCAAAAATGTTCATATGGTGTAAATATTTTAAAAAGATGGGTTAGAGAATGCAAATTTGATTTTGGTTTCTGGGTTGTTTGCTCTGCCTTCTGTTTTTTAAGTTTCTCCTTTAAAAGTCTTTATCAACCTTTCAAAATCAATGTATGCTCTTCAAAGCTACTTAGAAATTGTTTGGCAGGCAGAGGGGTGTTTTTGCTTTTTTTACCTCTTTACTTTGGGGTTTGTGTAGAAATATACTGGGACACAATGAACTGTAAGTAGCATTTGTTTTAAGTATCAAAACACAGTTTAACTCCTTATTTCTCAACACTGAAATGAAACATACTTTTTCTTACAATTCTGATGGGAGTGCTCTGATTTATTGAAATTCACATATTTTGTAGTTTAATAATCAGAGAAGCATTGAATATGAGCTTCAGAAATGATTAACATCTGCATCCAGATTCAGTGAAGTTAGTAGAACTGCTCAAGTGCTTATAATTAAGCATGTGATGAAGTCTCTTTCTTCATCAGGACCATAGGGAGGGCACACCCAGCTCCTTTTGAATATTTTTTTTATACCCAAATTCAACTTCCTGTCCATTACAGAATAAAATCTGTTGGTAATCCAAGCATGACTAACGTACAAAAGGAGACATAAGTTTCTTTCCTTCCTGAGCCACATCTTTGATCTCATGGTGTCACTTGGATGCCTACTGAAGAGCCATGCAAAGGCCTGAATCAGGTTTCCTGTGCTGATAGGCCTCTTTCTGTCAGAAATAAGTTGAGGTTTTAAAATTGTTTGCTAGATAAATGGTTTTTTAAGCTCCTTTAAAATCCATCTGGTGGCTGGCTGACAGCTTCCAAGCCAGGCCTATGTACCTATGGTGTGTATACTTCTCCAGCACCCAGGATAAAATAAACACTAGGTCATTTGTTAGTTCTTTCTCATCTGGCACAGCATTTTTAGGAAGTTATTAGATCAGTTTTCATCTTCTGGACTTCAGGGCATTGGCAGGGTGGCTGAAGCCTCCTTGGAAGGTGACCCAAAATGCATCAATGAGCTGAGCTCTCTGCTGGTGTCTGTGTTTGCTTTGCAAAATACGTGGGTGTTTGAGGTCTCCAGGTCTGAAAATACAGAGTTGCAGAGGATAAAAGTGATAACTGTTCTTTTCCTGGTACTCTTTCGTAGGGTTTCCTTCCTTTTCCCAAAGACAGGAATTACTTCACTTGGGATTATTTCCATGTTAATCAGCTCCAGTGCATATTTGGAAGTTAGGACAGAGGCAGGATTGGTGTGTGAGAGAGAAAAAGAAACAAGAAAAGGTCGAAACAGTTTAACAAAAGAATAATAACAAAATCCCATAAGCCTGGCTTTGACTTCCAGAGCCATGCTGGGAGATCTTGATCTCCAATTTCAAACCAGCCTTGAACTGACCTTGGAACAAGGATTGTGTTCCTCCTTGGAATACCTAGCCAAGACCCCTGAAATTACCACTTTTGTACTACTGTATTTGAAGAATTAAATTTTGGATTTCATTAACTTTCTTTGTGTGTTCCAGTCCTTGCTATGGCTCTACTGTCTGTGTAAGTCAGGAGGAAATACGATCTTACCTTGCTGTGTTGTGAGCTCCTGATGAAATAAACCCCAGAGCTGTGTTATGTTAAAGCAAAATATCAGACTTTTTGAACACTTGAGCACCCTTAGGGCCAAATGCTAAATGTTTTCTTGCCTTCAGGCAGCCTCATGTTAAGTCTGCACACTTAGGATTTCTAAATTTAGAGCAGGCTTTCAATTGCCCCCTCAAGCATTTTGCTTAAATGACATAATAATAACTGTACCTCCACAGGTATGCCTGTGCCATGAGCTCTGAGAACTAGAGTTGTAAATTACAGAGATAATTTGGCCAAGGTTTGAAATGTGGAAATGTTGCTGACTTTAAAAGCTCAGTATACTGAGTATCTACATTAAAGGAACACTGTCACACTGGAATTGTTTGTGTATAAATGGGTTTATCTGTTATTAGTACCAGCTTACTGTGGTGAAAACTTTTAAAAATACAGATGTTTTTCACGGTGTTTGATTTTTATAGTATAGCAACGCTTCATATATCATGCATTTCAGTGTTAGTCATTGTAAAATTAATATTTCTTTTGTAGCTACATTGTTTCTTTAATGCAAGAGTGTTTGTGTGAAGAACTAGGAGGTTTTCCATAGTGTAAAAGTTACGAGGCTGAACACAGACTTAAGTTTTGATTTATTGCTTTGTAATACCCCTGATTGATGAAGGCAGTGTTGGAATATTCTTTCTTCCTCTTCTTTTGGAATGATAGAAGTTTTAGTGATCAAAGTTCTGCTGCCAAATGTCCATGGAGAAATAAGTTGTAAATTAAGTGTCTGTTGAAGCTCTGTCTTCTCTGAAATGTTGAGACTTCGCAGAATTGAAACCGCCCTCGAATAATTAGTCTTGAATCCTTTAAATACTTACGTATGTGTTTAACTTGACTCATGTCAAGTTGTATGTGTAAAGTTAAACATGGAGAAACATATTTGCAGGATGAGATCATTTTAACATCTCATGATTCACAGCAAAAAATATCCTGTTATTGCCTGAAACCTGTTCCACAGATACAAAACATGAAGTTAAGATCAGCATAGATCTGTTCACCTATTCCTTTTAAAAGTACTTCAGTATGAAGTAGTGAATAAATCACTCCACAGCCCTTGCTAAGTTATTGTCAAGATTAATATAATGATCATTTAAATTGGATGTTATACCAGATAAGCTAAAACTTAATCTCTGACTAGTTAATTAGAAAGGGAGTGAAACGTTGATAATGCAACTGTAGATGACAAAAGTGCTTTTAATGTTAGACATGTTGGTAGAGCTTATCAGTTTTAGTCAGCATGATTTAAAAATTATTTCCATATGTCTGGATTTCAGTTTGTTTTTCAAATTAAATTCTAGTCCTTTGTATAAGCATTCTGTCAATGTGTGCAGTGGTGGGTGGTATCTCATCTTAGCAAACAATTTTTGGGTAAGGGTAATGGGAATCCCAGCAAAATTCTTCCCTCAGGCATATGCATGCAATTCTCACCAAATTTAGTAAGATTTACATGTGTGTTTCCAAAAGGAGGGTTTGGCTAATGTGTTTTGTTTTTTTTCTTCCACCAACCCTCAAAGCCTTGGGCTCCCTGTCAGGCAGTTTGCATTTGCTGATCAGCGTTTCCACATCTGTTGAGCATTTCCTCTCAGATGCTTTGTCCATCCAACCAAGCACATGACAGTCCTCTCACCAGGGTCCATCTCTCCTGGCAGCTTGAACCTTGGCAGGAAACATTTCCACTTGGATTTCCACTTGAAGTTGGACTTTGGCAAACACCAAGGCCCGTGCCATTCTCCTAACTCTCTTTCAGATGATGCTGTGATGTGACTGTGAATACATATTGAGAGGGGAAAAAATAAAGCTGTTTTTCCTTCCTTTTGTTTTTCCTTTCAAGGTTCCAGATAAGTATTTCCCCATTTTACTGGATTATCTGCAAGGTCTTCAGGGTGGTGCACGAGACAAAACTGTGCAGAAAGCTGAAGCTTTTATGAAGGAATTTGACGGTTCTGATGGAGAAGACCCAAACCTTCTGGAGAAGTGCGAGCGCATCAGACAAGTTCTACAACTGCTGTCCTGAGTGTATTTCTGTGTCATAATTGTCTGGTGGAGGGAAGGAGAGGATGTCACATACAGAGGCTGTAAAGGATTTGTAAAGATAATACTAAATTTTATACTTACAATTTTTTCCAACTGAAAATATTTATCGTGTTCGGAGGTGATGAAATAAAAATAACATATATAGCCCATAGTCTTGCTATTAATCTTACTGCACCTCTTTAGAAAAATAAACCTCTCTCCCTCTCATTAGTTTTTCTCCATCTCCCCCTCTAATTACTGTTACATATGAGGAACTTTGCAGCTCTTAATAAGAAGAGCAAAGGAGCCAACAGAAAGCCTGGAGGGTCTTTTACAATGGCAGCTTTTAAAATGAGTGTACAGTACAGTGCATGCTCAGCCAGCTGTAATCTCTCACTTTCAGCTTCAGAAGGATGTCACTTGGATTTGGGAAGGATCATTTTCAGTCTGTTGAACATGGGTTGTACAGCATTTGCTTATTAGTACTTCACATGGTGATCTGGAGATACCATCAGCTTTGTTGGTTTTCCTTTTATATTTTAAAGTTTTCAAATGCATTAGGGCAATTGTTTAGATACTCAGATAATGCACAGATGGGAACAGATCAAATCCTTGACTATATGTGGTGAAATCATCAAATTGTAGCAAAACTTAGCCTACAATCAGAAGTGCTGTGCTGTATCCAGCCTGCCAATATTGCATTTTCCTCCTGCAACTGGCATCCAAAGGAGTTAATTCACGTTCATTCCTTTTGGCATGGGGCATTTGTCTCTTATGAACGTGCTGAAAATGAGGCTTTCAAATAAAAACCAAGGACATTAATTACTCAAAGTTGGATGATTGGCTTATTTAATAACACTGGCATTCAGACAGAGTTCTTGACCTGATTTTTTAACATTTCTGCAAACATTGTTCATACTTTATTAATATCAACTATATGAAATGTGTGGTGTTTTAGAAGAGTGGCTGTCTTTGGGAATTATGATTTTAATTTGGGTGGGTGAAGGAGGGAAGGATCTATGGATATGCAGCCTGATCTTGCAATAAGAAGCATTTGAGTGGATTTGACAGCCTTCATAGTCATGGCTTAGTACAAATCTTTAAAAGTATGAAATGTATTACTAATAGCAAATAACTTATGCTTTCTGACTTGCTGAGGAGGAGACTTTCAGCCAAAAAAGGCTAGAAACCAGCATGCCCTCCTCTAAGAGAATAACTGGGATGGAGTTTGGCACAAGAATGGGCAGAATTGAGCAGCAGTGTCCAGGTTCTCCATTGAGGTGCTGACAGTGCTTTGGGGCACAGCTGCATGAGGGCTGCAGAGCAGCCAGAGCCTTTCTGAGCTGTATAGCACTGATCTTCCAGTCAGAATCCTGCTGAAAAGGATCTGTAATAAAAGGAAGTGATCCTGACATTTAGTGAACTCATAAAGATCATTGGGTCATATATCTTACATGTGAGAATATGCAGCTGGGAAAACCTGCTGTCACTCCAAGCAGAAGCTGATACTTGTTTCTTTCCATGAGGGAAAACAGGAATTTCTCAGCGATGAAGTTTTCAAAGTATCTTTTTGTGAGTTTATCATTGAATGTTAGATGTCAGAGAAGAATTTTTGTTCTCCCTCAAGAAATTTGAACATTGCCACTTTTGATTTCTCTGTCACACAAAAATGTGGGTCCTCATTGAGCATTTAACATACCTTCTAGCTTAAAAGCACAAGCACATTGCAACTGCACTTTGGAAAAGAATTGTAAAAAATATGATAAAGGTAAGATCTGGACAAAAATATGGGAACCTTTTATGATTTTTGACATATTTAGCAAGATTTGCCTTTCTTTGACCTTAGTTCTGACCATGTATAAATGCTGACTAATCTGTAAGAAGAGAAGCTTTGTAGATCAAGAGTGTCATGTTTCATTTTACATCAATTAATATTAAAAGCACACGAGGCCTGTCAATCTGGAGGCCATGTGAACAGTAGTATTTGCAAAAGAACAGTTAGAGCCTCTCACAGTAATAGACTCCTGGGAGTAGGTCCTGCTCTGCTCTCCTTCCTCAGCTGCAGTTCCAGCTTTCCCTTCAGTCCCACTGATTGCTGGGTGAAGGTCATGGTCCTGGGGCTCTGCTTCTTGTAGTTATGGAAATTCAGAAGTTGCAGTTGAAGATAATTGTTGCTGTGGTTGTGTTTGGCAGAGAAAGCAAAGCGTGGTGCTTCCTGCCACATGCCTTTTGGTGTAGGTACTGTTCAACAGAGGGGTCTTGAAATTGGGTAAAAGATTGTAAAACTGCTGCTTGGTGGTTCTGTGTCTTGCACATCAGAGCTCATATGAAATAGTCTAAGAGTTGTCTAATACTCGATGTTGTAGTGCAAATAGAAATTTCTTTTTTTTTACTTCGCACCTTTTCTTCAAGAATCTTCAGCTGATTGGCAAAGAAGTCATGTTGACAACAGCCAGGAAAAGCAAGAACACACATTTTTGGGAGATCTGTATTGCTAGGCCTGTTTAAAAGGCAAGATTGTGAGGACCCAGAGAGCTTATCCCACACACTCTGCAGACACTGTAGTGCCTCTGGCAAGGAAATCTTGCCTTGTCCATGTGCTGTCCACCACACCAGCCTCTGCTTCCTGCTCAGCCTGGCATCTTCATCCCTAAATTTACATTATGTGGTAAGTAAGTCTAGAAAAGTCTCCTCCATCACACATTTTAAATTATTTATCTTAAATTATTAAGTGTGCAATCAGTTACTGAATTCCTGTAGCTGGTTGGAGCTGTGTGGGAAGATGTAATCTGGCACTTCATTCACTTTTTGTCATTTGGTCACGTACAGTTTTCAAATCTCAACGTTGCTTGTATCTTAGGCAATCATATAGGCACAGATAGGAGAAAATTGTGTCTTTGCCGCTTTGAGTCAGCCTGCTGTGTTAATAAAAATTGCATCCCAGGCTAGAAGTAGCAGTGTGCACAGAATGACAAATTACATCTTCATCTGCCTACGCTAATCGCCTTCTAGTCGAGTTAATCTGCGTTGTGTAGCTCTGGCTAGCAGAATGCATGTCCTAAGAGAATGCTGAAGTCAGGACTTCCAGGCAAAATAAAGGAACACTAATTACTAAGAATTGCTTAAAGCTGGAACTTTGCCTCTAGTGGAAGTACTAATTACTCAAAATTTGACAGTGGAAGAAGTTCCCTTTAATTTGGCTGATCCTTGCTATGGGTTGTGTATCTATTTGGTTCTCTGCTGTCTGCCCACAATTTTAATTTGTTATCACCATTGCAAAATTACTGCATAGATGAGTTCTGTTTGTATTTGGAAGGGCATCTTGGAGTTGTTGAATGTGTAGTTTATTTCCTTATTTCCTCTCACTGGAAAATTGCTCTGCTTGTTTCCTCTTCATTTTAAAGCAAGGTGACTATTGACTCATCTCCTTTTATTTCAAATAGCTTAGAAATGCACATCTTTGGTTTGATCTTGGGGGTTTTGTTTTGTGGGTTTTTCTAAATTTTGCCATTTTTTCAATTTTGCCATTGAGTAAGGCGAAGTAAAAACCATTAAAATCTACTCCCATTTCTGAAAATCAGTGTCAGAAACAACAATCATAAAAGAGATTTAAGTTGCAAAGTCAAGCACTCAGAAAATTAGAAAACGTAAGAATGGAAATTATCTGTGTAATTTAAATTCCACCCTTCATGTTTATGTGGTAGGATGGAACTTCTTAATTATGTCATCAGGGCTGTGTTTTCCTTTGTGTGCAAGTAGTATGTTATTTATTCAGTGTTTTCCTGGCAGTTCTGCTGCTCTTCTCATTTTCAAAAGGCAGGTCTACAAAGCAGTCCCAAAGCCAGAGAAGTAACTTTGCAGTTGGGCTTTGATCAGGCACAGAAATAAGTAGGAACTTTCCTATTCCTGTGGTGTAAGAACTAGTCATAGATGTTTCATCACAAATGTTCCCTTTAAAACATGTTTTAATGTTCTGATTCATTTACAGTCAAAATACTGAATTGATGTTACTTAATTTAAATCCAGTTTTGTTGACATAAAACTTTCCAGTGGCTTATTCTGGTTTAGCCTTTGGTTTCCTTTTATGTCTTCTTTTCTGTACCGCTGAATGAGCTTGTTATTTCTGTCCTTGCAAATAGGAATATTAGTTGTTTACAGTGATTCCAGTCATACAAGGACATAATTAAATGTCCTTGCCTGTGCAGGACAAGCTCATTTTTGCAGTGATTTATAATTATGTTCTATTTTAAATTCTTTGTAAGAACCTACATAGTCAACAACTTAATGTGGTTTTAAATAATTATTATTTTAAAATACATGGGGTTTTTTTCCCCCTGCAAGGAGCAAGGAATAGCAAACTAAATAAAACTAATTAGTTAATGGTGGGGGAAGGGCAAAGCAAAACAGTGGTTTATCTTTCTTTGTCAAAACAAAGCTGAATAAGAAGCTTGTGCTACTAAGAAACATTAACTGGTGTTGCAGACATAGAGGGAGGGCCCTCTGGGTACAAACAGAAGAAGTCATACAGTTACTCTTATTGATTTTTTTTCCTTACATGCAGAAAATTTTTGTCATTCCCCAACAAAACCCACAAAAACACCTACGTCAAAAAGTTAAATAGGTTTCCAAATCAAACCCCAAAAGGTCAAGAAATGCCACATGTATACAAATGGCCAAAAGAATTAAAATTCTACCTCTCTGTGCCTCCAGCCTGGAGACTGAATGAAGGGGGATTGTGTTAGAGGCAAACAAGCAAAACCCTCTAAATTATGTGAGCGCATAGTTAAAATTGCCAGTCACCCTTCTGTTCATAGGAAGGTGGAGTTACATTCCCTATTAGCTTTAGTTATTCAGATTTTTTAATGAATATTTTTTGCTAATTGAAATATCACATCTGTGACAACTTATATCTATTCTTCTCAAGGTCCCATGTGTATTTTATAAAATTGTAAGCCATGGGGCAGACACAGGATCTGTCACTCTTACTTGCTTACAAATAGCCAGACCAGCCATGGCACAGTGGAAATCATCATTTGCTGTTGAGCTCCTTTGGACCCGAAGGATGTTTGGCACTGGGTTTTCCTGTTTTGGTCTGGAGGTACAACAGGCTTTGGCAGCATCCTTTGTAGCAGCCAGACTTGCTTAAGCTCCATGAAATTTCCCAAATCTGGCGCAGTGGTGCTGCTGATGGAATTTGCCAGGCGAGGAGGGAGCCCGTGGAGCGCGGGGAGGCTGCGGGGTCCCAGCTGCTGCTCGGGATGCTCAGCCCATGGCTTAGTGCCCTCTTTGCTGCTTGTTCTCACTCTTGAGCTGCTGGGAGTTGCTGCCATTTTATTTGTTTGCTTTCCGTGGGCTTAATCGGACTAAACAAATTGATTTAAAGCTATCTTGAGAAATTGAAAACTTCAGCTACGGAGATGGTGTTTCTCTGGTAGCATAGATACATGTAAACAGACTTTATGGATTTCACACAGACAGGACCCTTTATTAGAAGCAGAAGCTCTTGCAGGATCCTGGAAAGGACTGATCAGCATCCTGATTTACCTTGTTAAACAGGACTGGTATTTCCGTGAGCTGTCACAAATAAATGCTCACAGATAGGCACAAGGACAGGCAGCCAGGAAACCATGTATGGGCATCAGCTGTGCCAGAGGGCAGGGATGACAGTGAGGAATGTAACCTCCTGAAGTTCCCTGGTTAAGGCAGAACGCCACCTGGCACAAATCTTGGCTGCCATAAGGTTAAAAATAACAAATAGCATCCCTATTACATAAGGAAATCTTTTGTCCTTGTTTAATGGGGCACTGTGATATGCCGGAAAGAATAAATATGGAGCTTCTCTGAAGTCTTGTGGTT